TCTAATTTACGTTATAGTGAAAGTATTGTTTAATTATACTCATTATATAAATTATAGACATGCAATATTGGTTGTTGTTTTTGAACATGTGACAAGAAATGTCATTGAAAAGAAAATAACATAGAAGTCATTATCTCATCCATGGTTAAACCAACAACTAATAAAATCCCATTGTGAATATTTTGAACCCCACCATCACTGTTCTTGTTGAAGGACACTGAATAGACAGAATAAAAACAAATAATACTTCAAAAAACTGTTCTTCTTCTGAAAGAACTTCTTTCCAATGCACAGAATTCCAAAAACTAAATTTAACTAAATAAATCTAAATAAAACCCTGCCTGGGAGATCTGGCAGAACAAAAGTATTCTATATAATGCTAAAAGATACAGCCCTGCTATTATCATCTGCCAGCCACAAAAAAGACACAAAGTTTGTTTGTTTTTTATGTTTGAAACTGACTTGCTGGGGCAGAATGTGGCTGTGTTGATGGTTTGGTGCTTGTGGAGGATTTAGCAGAGCATAGCTGGGCTGATTGAGGGGATTGATGCTTGTGGGGGGTTCACAGACAGTATCAGGAGAGGATGCTTTCAGTACATGTGATAATACATTACATAGAAGGTTGCGCAGTGGCACAGTGAGTACCACTGTCGCCTCACAGCAAGAAGGTTGCTGGTTCGAGCCATGACTGGGTTCTCCCCATGTTGGCGTGGGTTTCTTCCGGGTGCTCCGGTTTCCCCCACAGTCCAAACACATGCAATACAGGTGAATTGGGTAAGCTAAATTGTCCCTATTGTGTGTATGTGTGAAAGAGAGTGTATGGATGTTTCTCAGTGCTGGGTAGCAGCTGGAAGGGCAGCCACTGCGTAAATCATATGCTGGATAAATTGGTGGTTCATTCCACTGTGGCAACCCCAGATTGATAAAGGAACTTAGCCGAAAAGAAATGAATGATTATGCATAGGAGATGTTGACAGATGTTTAATATCTCTGCCGATTTCACTTTTGCACACATTATAACGTTACAGTATCAGTTTGTTTTATCTGCAGCACCACTGACTGTACAATTCTTCCACAAAGAACATGTTTTTTTTTTTTTTTTTGACTGGTGGAGGACCAAGAAATGGCTCAGAAGCAGTCTCACTCTTTTTCTATTCGGGTGCCCAAATGTATTTGAGGAGTTTCAAGTTAATAAAAAGTGACGGGAAGCTATGCTAAGGTTAACTAGCCTATAGCATATATCTTGCTGTCTGCAAAAGACAGTAATGTAGACGTACCATATAACTCCCATAAGTGCATACTATTCGACACAACTGCACAAGCATCGTTTTAACCTTTATAAACGAACGTTAACGTTACACTGTCAACAGTCTATTGTCTAAATTACCGCGCTAACAGAGCTAACGTTGCGTAAACAGAGCACCCGGTTGCAAACTTCCCGATCCCGATCAAACTCCGCTACAAGTTTATAAATTGCATCTGGAACCCAATTAAGGTACAAAAATCTATTTAACAAAAATAGTGATGCAGATAATATTTTTTTTCGCTCAGCCGAGCCTTCTCTGTCTGTATCTGTGGAGAAGATTGTACCAGACACCTCCGCCCCGCCCTCCGACTGAGCGTCTCACTCGCTCTCTCGCGCTCTCGCGCTCTCGCGCTCTCTCTCTCTCTCTCTCTCTCTCTCTCTCACTCACTCACTCACGCGGGCATGCACTGTGGTCTCATGAGGAAACGCTGCTTTTTGATATAGTGCTTTTCTTGCTCCCGAATACAAATAATTTTTCAAGTATTTGTTCGAAATAAGTATTCGTAAAAACACGCTATTCGTGCCTTTCCGAATACCGTATTCGGGTTCGGCTCCACCCTTAATATATATATATATATATATATATATATATATATATATATATATATATATAAATATATAAATATATTTTTCCCTCTCCGCTGTCGCCACTGCCTCGCATGGTTCAGGATTGGTAGAGCTACGCATCGATGAATTGGCTCTTCAGTGTTTGAACTCTCAGTAATGATTAAATCACACTGAACTGAGCTAAACTGAACTGAACTTAAACACTAAAAACTGAACTACACTGTTCCAGTTACTGAACCACACTGTTCCAGTTACTATGACCATTTATGTGAAGCTGCTTTGACACAATCTACATTGTAAAAGCGCTATACAAATAAAGCTGAATTGAATTGAATATATACATACATACATACATACATACATACATACATACATACATACATACATACATACATACATACATACATACATACATACATACATACATACATACATACATACATACATACATACATATATATATATATATATATATATATATATATATATATATATATATATATATATATATATAATAATAAGCTGCCAGTACATTTTCTGTGATTTTACAGACTTCTTTCTCTACATGTTACTTTATTATCCATCATATTATTTCAAATATAAAACAATAAATCATTGTTGACTTCTGCTGTCTTCATTAGATTAGAGACACAGTTTTCCTCTGGAGATTAATTTCCCCTAATAACTTAATTAAATAGTCCTAACACACACACACAAAAAAAGTAAATATATCGAAGAAATAGAAAAATCACAAATATGAGCGCAAATGCATTTGCTATTTAAACAACGTGGTGCAAAACGTCAAAATTACTCTTGTGTCGAGTTGAAAATAGCAAACAACAATTGGGTCGGCTGTATGACAAGGCCCTAAGTGTATTGCTGTATTGTATATATATTAAAGGTAAATTTGTGTTTTAAACAAATACAAATTTTTATTATAAGTATAAAAATACAACTGAATTTTATTAATTATTAACTTAATTTAATAACCTTTTGACACGTTATCAGATTTTGTTGTGCTAATTGATTGCTAAAGCTTTTATCATGGGCCTAATCACGATGTTGACCTAAGCTGCAAAAAACACAAATTTAACAGGTATAAACAAACATTTGTTATTGCATTGGTTTTTTGTATATACATGTTCTGAGTAAATGTGTGTTTTAAACATATAAATTGATGATACGGATAATAAAGTACAATATATAACACTTTAATATAAAGTTTTATTAATAAATGTTAGTTTATGGATTAAAACCATCAGTCAGCCAGAGTGATTACAGTTATTATGTGATTAGTAGTAAAAAAAGAAATACAACTGAATTTTATTAGTCTTTAACTCCTTTAATAAAACAATTATAACCTTTCAATGAATTATTAGGCATTAACTAAAAAATGAATAACATCGCCTAAGATTAATAAATGCTTTTGTAATTTTCATCACAAGTTTAGCTGAATTAACTAATTTCAATGCCAGATTAACATATGTAAGTGGTCATGTAGGAAAATAAATAGCCTATTAAGTCTTATTTTCAACAATTTGAAGTATCTGCTTAGATAAACAAATCCTGTTAATACAACAATCTGAATATTTCTAAAACGTCTCAAAGTTAAAATAATATTGATTGATTGATTTTATTTGACAATTTTAACAAAAATATTTAAACAAGTCCAGTCCTCGATAGTCTTTAAAAATGAACGAGCAAATCATAAATGAAGTGCAAACATCATCAGCTCAGCAACTCGGCACAGCAAAATCCTCAACTTCAACTGTAAAACACTTTTTAATTTTCCTTCTAAAAACACTCTCAATTTGAATCTCTTTAAAGTTTTGTGGGCAAAACATTCCAAGCAGCAGAGCTAAAGAAGAATTTCTACCTGATTCACTATTAAATCTATATGGGTAAATATCCCTGCTACACGCTCTTGTAAAACGACAGTGCACCTCACTAACTAAAATACATAATAATTAAGAGAATATTTTTGGACCATTTTCTTAAAAATCTTAAAAACGATCACTAATTTTAAAAATGTTACCCTTTTCCAAATGTAAAAAAAATACTTTGACTATAATGTTCCTTATTTAAATGTGTCAGTGGAGGTACTTTCAAAACAATTCTACCCAACTTATTTTGAGCCGTCTGCAATTTATTTTTTTATTTGTTTTTAGAACTATCGCAGTACAAAAAAGCTGCAGCATAGTCCAAGTATGGCTGCACCAATGCACTAGCTACATTTTTAAAAGTTTGGGTATCTAGGAGCTCTGCCTGTCTTGCTAAATTTTTTGAATGGACTATAACAGCCATCTTTTCGCACGTCAAATTACTATATAAAATGCAACCTAAATATTTCACTTCCTGTTTTGGAGTAATAATTCGATCCCCTACTTTTATCTCTGACTCGACACATTTTCTTAGTTTTACAGCTGAACCAAATAAAATAAATTCATGAATTCATTATTCCAGTATTTTGACCCATGTGCCTATGAAATCAATATAATGCTTTTACTTTTATCACGATATGTTACTGATTATCCCCATATCTCAATTTGACTTTTTAGTATTTTTTATGATGTTTTTAACGTCAAAATTCTTCTGTTTTAGTATAAACACAAACGGTAAACACAAACTCAGTCATCAGAGGAGGAAAAACCTTTTGCTCTCTGGCTTCCTGTGTCGACAGGGGTCAGAGGTAATGAGAGGACGTTGTGGCGCTGGACTTCAAGGGTTTATTGTTTTGCGGTCGCCTGAAAGACGTGGCCAACTCAACACAGCTAAGTGAAGGACGTCGTTCTCTAATGCTCTCAATGCATATCAAAGCGCTTGCGTGTTCAACAACGACTCACCAAAACTGGGATTCAACTTCAATCAAGTCTTTGTTTTTCTTCTCTCAGACAAAACACTGTTTTAATTATGATTTATGGTGCAGTTCATGATCACATATATTAATTATAACATTAAAAAGGCACAATAATGAGCTCACATTTTGATTCTGCGGAAATGCTTGCACTGTTAGTAGACAAACTAAACCACAGAAGGCATTGTGTACATTATACAACATTCATAATGCAATCCATCTGGGCATTTTCAAACACTATAAACCTACTTTTCTTTTGACATGTTCCATTACCTCAGCTTGCCACTGATATCTTTCAGTCCTCAACCCTTTTTTGATTGATTAGTGATTTTAAATCAGGTAGGCCTTGCAGTTTATAGTCCAGCAGCATTTGCCCGTAAGCTTTTCCCTGTAGAAACACACAACAACATATTTTAATACTACTATAACATTATTTCACACAATATGAGAATTGTTTTATACAACAGGACATTTTTGGATGTTTATTATAATATACAATAGCATTTAAGAGATTGAAATTCTTAAATATGTTTGTTAGAAAACTTCAAAATGCTGAAATGACTTCTTCTGCGTACTTATTACATTTTATACAACATTTCTGTCTGGTTCTTGAATCTGATTGGCTGATAGCCGTGTGATAATCTGCAATAACAGAAAAAAGAAACGTCCTCAAGCCGATGCACACCTTCCACCAGTGCCGATATACAGCAATATTGCAATGCTACTGGTGTGATATTGCTCATTTAAAATATATGCTTTTCATTTTAATATATATAATTCAGTGTTTCTCAAAATGGAATTATTAGAATTAACATATTTCATCCATAACCTACATAAGATAAAAATAGTTTTTAAGATAATAATATTTAATATATACTTAATATTTAATAGCTACATAAAAAACAACATGCAAATAAAAAGTCATCAGCCTTTCATTTTTTCTCCATTGGATTGTGACCCCTGGGGTTATTATGCTAGATTAATGCCACAGCAATAGTGTTAGTTGCAGCAGACTGATTTTACGGCCCAATGTTAAACTTTGGAAGCTTTACGGCACTCATACATTAAAAATAAAGCCCATGACGGACTGATGGTCTTCAAAATTATACTAAGAATATTCTCGTGCTGTAAACATTGTTCCCACCATTCTCATTAAATGAGGTTAATATTAAACTAAACAAACGAATAATGACTAATAAAATTATAGGGTTATATATACATATACATGGACTGCTGCATTTTTTGTGTTGTCAATATGTTTGCGTTTATATAGTTCCTATTGGTGTGTGTGTGTGTGTGCACCATTGTGTGCAATATTTGTATGTTTATAACCACCTCCTAGCATAGTGATGGTCGCGAGTCACTGGTGTTTTTTATGGTCATGGGCAGAAAAGTTTGAGAAACTCTTACATAAATCGTTATAATATTCTGATATATTGCTCTAAAGCTGTATTATTTTTGGTGAAATCATATTATAAACACTTTTGTTTGGATTGTTTATGAATAGATATTTTTTTTAAAAAGCATTTATTTGACATAGAAATCCTTTGGAACGCTACAAATGCCTTTATTGTAATTTAAGAAAATGTTAATTGTGTGAACAAGTGACCGACTTCAGCCATAGCTTTAGGTCTATTTATAGTGTAGGGGGCGGGTCGCTTCAGAATCAAGAGAGCATTTGATAAGACAGGATCAAGTCCAAATTGGACAAGTGCAGCTTTTGTCATAGTTTTGGAGCACATTAGCTTAACCTTGAAGACACAATATGTAAGATATTTTTATTAAAACCTCCAAAACCCAGTTGAACAGTGTTATATATTTTGATGACTTAAGTTCTATCCCAAAAGTTTTGGAGAATGTTCAATTCCATAATAGTAGTCCCTTATTTATCAGGGGTCGCCACAGCGGAATGAACCGCCAACTCATTCATTTATTCATTTACTTGTCGGCTTAGTCCCTTTATTATTTCAGGGTCGCCACTGCGAAATGAACTGCCAACTTATATAGCAAAGCTAACTGGACAAACTGGTTGTGGCAGGAAAGCCCTTCACATGGAGGTAAGCGATGAGCCGGTAAGCGCCAAAAGAAAAGAAATGCAGCCATACGTACCTCTGGATACATAATTCACGCTCTCCAGAAACGTCCGCGGGGCTACATTTTCAGAATGAGCCTGGATTGTTTATTTTCTTTTAACTTTTGTCAACTGATAAAGTTTGTTCCTCGCCACTGTCGCCACTGGCTTGGTTTGGGACTTGTGGAGCTGCGCATCAATGGATTTGCTCTTCAGTGTTTGGACTTTCAGCAGTGAAATTTAACCCACACTGAACTGATCTAAACTGAACTGACACAGTTTAATTTGCTATAACTTCTATGTTCTGCTATGCTTTGGCACAATCTACATTGTAAAAGCACTATATAAATAAACATGAATTGAATTGAATTGAATTTTAATTGAATTGAGTTGAATTGAATACTGTGTCTTTAACACAGCTAACACCCAAAAACGTGGATTCCAGGGGGGCTTTAACGTTGTAAATTGCTAAACACCTAAGTAACCTCATTCCAAACTAAGTTCTTTCGAATTCCAAAAAGGTTGCAGTCACTGTGTTTATGTCCGTTTTACGAGTTTGCATGAATGAATGTGTAAGACGCTTGTGTGTGTGTGTGTTTTACCTGAGGGTCGCTGCGGAGGGACGCCACCCCTCCCCCTCCAAGTGAGTTGAGCAGAATGAAGTTCAGACCGTGAATACCAGGCAGCTCGTACCTGAAAGCCACCGCAAACATGTGAAATACGTTATTTTAATTAAGATCACCTCCCAGTTTTCACACATCTGCGCATTAGCTCACAGCACACTCTCACACAGTCCGGCACCTAGACATCTCAGACCTCAGCATGAGGTGGTCCTCATTAGCGGCACCAAAGGAGTTTTACCCAACCCATAAAACTAGAGACTTGCATGCATTCTCTTTACCCTCCCTCCCTCCCTCACAGTCACACTCTCTCACACACACTTACACGCATACGTATACATGGTTTACAGGGACACTCTATAGGTGTAATGAATTTATTGCAGTAAAATACACTTATTATGGCTCTATCCTAGCTGTGGCAAAATTTGAATGTCAAAACACCAAGTTAAGTATGAATTTTAAGAGTTTCGAATAACAGGGACTTGATGTGTGTCCCTGTAAACCACCTTAAAAGAGTATTAAATACCCATGCATTATATAACTCACACACTGTACACATGTTTATTTTAGTGAATTGTGGCTACTTCCTATAGATTAACATTGCTTTTATAGAGTATAAAAATTGTATTTTCTATTGTCCTACCCCTACCTTATCCCTAAACCCAACCCTCACAGAAAATGGTGTATCATTCTATATGATTTATAAGCTTTATGAGAAATGGCGACATTAGCAATGTCCTCATAATTCACAATTGCCTTGTAATACCTGTGTAATACCCATGTCATTATATACATTTGTGTCCTTATTTGTCACAAAACATGCACACGCACACACATTTAAAAAAATCTGTACAGATTTTGTTGCTTAATTTGTTTATTTTGTGTTTATTTGTACTGAGTCAAAAGACCACGTTAAGTATGTTTTTTAAGCATTTTGAACTTGATGTGTGTCCCTGTAAATCACCTTAACAGAGTACAACAAGGTCATACCCATGTCCACAACTTTGTGTCACTGAATAAATCTTTCCACCAATAAATCTGCACAGAAACACACACACACACACGCAGGTTGATTTTTGTGAATTGTGGGGACATTCCATATATTTCCATTGTTTTTATAGAGCACAAAATTTATTTTCTATTGTCCTACTCCTACCCTATCCCTAAACACAGCCAACACAGAAACTGTGTGTAGTTTTACTTTCTGAAAAAATCAGTTTGATTTATAAGCTTTTTGAGAAATGTAGACATTAGCAATGTCCTCATAATTCACAATTGCCTTGTAATACCCATGTAATTACACACATTTGTGTCCTGATATTTAACAAAAACATGCACACACTTTTTAAAAAATCCATACAAATCTTGAGTAGCCTATTTAAAGTTTATTTTGTGTTTATTTTACGTTAGATGTTGTAACTGACCAGTAATGATGTCCTTAAGTACAGGCTTGTAACAAACTGTAATGTGTGTTTTATGATGATCATTTTTAATTACTTTCCTCCTCTTCAAACTAATGAGCTATATCTTTCACCAGTGTGGTGAGGTGGAAAGAGGCTTACTAGCACATTTCTTAAATGTCGTCTTACCGTATGACGGAGGGTTGGCCAGTCTGATCCTTTCTGATTAAATGTTGGAAATACTGCTCCACGACCTCAGCAGTTATAAACTTCTTTAGATATGGGAAGTACTGTGGGTGTCTTGCAATAACACCTAAAACAGAAATTAATGGTGTTTTAAATATAATTACGCACTTGGATCATCATTATGTGCAATATTAACTGTTAATAATAGAAATATTAGCATGATGCAAAATGTTGTTACAAAATGTATGTACCATTTAAAAAAACCCTGAGACTATGGTCAAAAAACAAAAAGCATGGCAGTGATTTTCAAATTAGACAATTTTAAATTAGCTTTCAACCATGGCAGTATATTAAGTTTTTACCACAGTATACTTACTGTACAGTATATTAAGTGTTTACCACAGTATACTTACTGTACAGTATATTAAGTGTTTACCACAGTGTACTTACCACTGTACAGTATACTAAGTGTTTACCACAGTATACTTACTGTACAGTATATTAAGTGTTTACCACAGTATACTTACTGTACAGTATTTTAAGTGTTTACCACAGTATACTTACTGTACAGTATATTAAGTGTTTACCACAGTATACTTACTGTACAGTATATTAAGTGTTTTCCACAGTATACTTACTGTACAGTATATTAAGTGTTTACCACAGTGTACTTACTGTACAGTATAATAAGTGTTTACCACAGTGTACTTACTGTACAGTATAAGTGTTTACCACAGTATACTTACTGTACAGTATATTAAGTGTTTACCACAGTATACTTACTGTACAGTATATTAAGTGTTTACCACAGTATACTTACTGTACAGTATATTAAGTGTTTACCACAGTGTACTTACCACTGTACAGTATACTAAGTGTTTACCACAGTATACTTACTGTACAGTATATTAAGTGTTTACCACAGTATACTTACTGTACAGTATAATAAGTGTTTACCAAAGTATACTTACTGTACAGTATATTAAGTGTTTACCACAGTATACTTACTGTACAGTATTAAGTGTTTACCACAGTATACTTACTGTACAGTATATTAAGTGTTTACCACAGTGTACTTACCACTGTACAGTATACTAAGTGTTTACCACAGTATACTTACTGTACAGTATATTAAGTGTTTACCACAGTATACTTACTGTACAGTATAATAAGTGTTTACCACAGTATACTTACTGTACAATATATTAAGTGTTTACCACAGTGTACTTACCACTGTACAGTATACTAAGTGTTTACCACAGTGTACTTACTGTACAGTATATTAAGTGTTTACCACCGTATACTTACTGTACAGTATAATAAGTGTTTACCATAGTATACTTACTGTACAGTATATTAAGTGTTTACCACAGTATACTTACTGTACAGTATATTAAGTGTTTACCACAGTGTACTTACTGTACAGTATAATAAGTGTTTACCACAGTATACTTACTGTACAGTATATTAAGTGTTTACCACAGTATACTTACTGTACAGTATATTAAGTGTTTACCACAGTATACTTACTGTACAGTATATTAAGTGTTTACCACAGTATACTTACTGTACAGTATATTAAGTGTTTACCACAATGTACTTACTGTACAGTATATTAAGTGTTTACCACAGTATACTTACTGTACAGTATATTAAGTGTTTACCACAGTATACTTACTGTACAGTATATTAAGTGTTTACCACAGTATACTTACTGTACAGTATTAAGTGTTTACCACAATGTACTTACCACTGTACAGTATACTAAGTGTTTACCACAGTATACTTACTGTACAGTATATTAAGTGTTTACCACAGTATACTTACTGTACAGTATATTAAGTGTTTTCCACAGTGTACTTACTGTACAGTATATTAAGTGTTTACCAAAGTATACTTACTGTACAGTATAATAAGTGTTTTCCACAGTATACTTACTGTACAGTATATTAAGTGTTTACCACAGTGTACTTACTGTACAGTATATTAAGTTTTTACCACAGTATACTTACTGTACAGTATATTAAGTGTTTACCACAGTGTACTTACTGTACAGTATATTAAGTGTTTACCAGTGTACTTACTTTACAGTATATTAAGTGTTTACCACAGTATACTTACTGTACAGTATATTAAGCTTCGACCACAGTATACATACAAATGAGCTAAAAACAATTTCCAGGAGTATCCTAATTTATTTTATATTTATCTATTTTATTTACTTGTATTTATTATTCTATGATATAAGAAAACAGACGTTTAGATAGAGAGACAGACAGATATTTATACACAGTACAAGTTTGACAATCAACATCAATATGAGAAAAGCTAACAAATGATGTCCTCAAAACATTAATAAAGAAAGCAAAATCAACACAGACTCTCAGTCTACTGCGGATGAAATATAAGCACCCGTCACAGTGAAGATGAAGTTAAGACTAGGGCACGCTGCCACATCACAAGAGAGTGTTGCCTTTTGGGCTGCAGACAGTGAGCTGCGATTCGCGGTTTGTGGTTAGAGAACATGGGTTGACCCAGAAGTTTCCCAGCATTCACTGCCAGAAAAGCTTTTTTTTTGGTGTGACACGGACATGTAGTAAGCAAGTTGCCTCATGGTGGAAATATTATTCAGTGCGTGTGAAAGCACATGGGGAGACACTTACCGATGTTTGCGGAGTCCCCTTTGTCTCCGCTGCGCGTGTATGCTAACTCCTCCAGTCTGAAGGTATGCGGCCCAGAGGGCAGATCTTGAGGAGAGACAATTCGATAATTAAATTCAGCAGTTGGCAGGTTTAACTAGCATCTGATCCCATTTAAGTCATGGTCAGCCTGATCTGCTCCCTCATTTAAATTAGAATATGCAAATAGAAATCAACATTTCTTCTGCTCTTTAAAATTTGGAGTCGTTGGGCTTGCAAAAAAATGCTTTGTTTTAAGAGAAAGATTACATTTTTGGTAATATTTATACAACATCTTTGTAAAAACACTTACTTTGTTGTGTGAAAATATGAAAAATTGTATTGAAACATTTAAAACTTTGGATTAAACCTTCTTTAGGGCAAAGCATGTGTAAAAATAGACAGAAAATGGCATCTTAACAAACGTATAGTATTTTTTTACACTGATTTTACTATGTACTCTATATACACAGTAATTTAGAGCAAAGAATATGTTTGGCATAGAGTTTTATTTGAGACTTTAGAAAATAGCATCTAAAACCACATAGCAACACTAATATAGTTGAAGTCAGAATTATTAACCCCCTTAGATTTTTTCTTTTTTTAAATATTTCACAAATGATGTTTACCAGAACAAGGACATTTTCACAGTGTGTCTGAAAATATTTTTTCTTCTAGAGAAAGTCTTATTTGTTTTATTTCGGCTTGAATAAAAGCAGCTTTTCATTTCTAAAAAGGCATTTTAAGGACAAAATTATTAGCCCCTTTAAGCTATTTTTTGATAGTCTACAGAACAAATCATCATTATACAATAACTTGCCTAATTACCCTAACCTGCTAGTTAACCTAAATAACCTAGTTAAGCCTTTAAATGTCACTTTAAGCTGTATAGAAGTGTCTTGAAATATATCTAGTCAAATATTATTTACTGTCATCATGGCAAAGATAAAATAAATCAGTTTTTAGAAATGACTTATTATAACTAATATGATTAGAAATGTGTTGACAAAAAATGCGTTGATAGACTGCGCGCAATGTGTCTGAAGAGCGAGGAGGGATCCGGGGGTGATAAGGGTGCATGACTTATTTGAGGACTGGGAGGGAGACACGTGATTCCTGGGAGATTATCACTCGTTTGCGGGCATTATGAGTCCTGCAAATGCATAGAGACTCCCGGAAATTCTAGGAGGCCTGGGATGACTGAATATCACATCTGACAACTGTAGTGAAACACGATCCAGCCATTCAACCTTGATAAAGACGTGCACTGCTCTCTTTCTCTGGAGCTCTGAGAGAGAAGCGCAGCAGTGAACACCACTTGTGTCTGTGTGTGTGTGTGTGTATGTGTTTGGTCAAGTGATGTGCGTTTTCAGCGAACGGGGGGCTGTTCAGAAATGAAAGGTAAAACACGGTGTGGATGTGGATTATTTTTGTTCCAAAATGCCATTTTAACACTAAGATGTATTAGTGTAAACTGGGCTTAAGTGTGTATTGTTCTCGAGCGTGTTTGCGACAGGGGCGGGGCATCTGCGATGCTCGCTCAGCATTCTGTTGTCTATTGGCCATCGGCGATGGACGATGGCATCGTCTATTGGCTCAACCCTAGTTGTTACCTGTCATGACCACCAGCGATCTAACCACCAGAGATCGCTGAAAAACATTCATACTCACACGAACTACAATCCTGCCTCATAATGAACTACAGATTCAATCATGCAACAAACACTCACACCTGCTCCAAACTTCCACTGATTAGACACTCACAGGTGAAGCAGCCCACTGATTGATTTATGGACTATAAATGAAGCACACTAACTCACAATGTTGCTGAGACTTGTTATCTATTTAGTGACATTACAACGCGTTTTCCTTTGTCTTACTTTGCCTTGTTTTTGACCCTCGCCTCGTTTATTTGTTTTTCCTGTTTGCTGCCTGCCTTGTGACCATCTGCCTGTTAGTTTAACTACGACTCTGGATTGCCTGTATACATCTGTTTGCCCCTGTGTTTACCATTGCTTACCTGACCTTGCTAATAAACCTGCATTTGGATCCACACCCCTGTTGTCAGTGTCACTTCCCTGATTACATTACCACCCCGTTAAGAGCATAATTATGGGCGTTTTACGTTATAACTAGCGTGGTTTAAACGATGGATCTGCGACAGAGAAACTACAGGTTTTGGAAAACACTCTTCACCACATCGTTCTTTTCCCAAACAATGCATCATACTATGATAGTTCAGTCGCGAGTTACGTCGTTCTTTGGGAAACGCACGCCAGAGAAATACTCTGTAGAGTAGACTGATGGCATTTCATGCTGTTCAGCCCTATAATCTAAAAATGTGAGCAAAAATCACCTGTTTTGTCATAATTTTAGACATTATGCTAGAATCATTCAAATACTAGCTCTAAAGTGGCGTTAGTGAATGGGTTTCTGCTGTTCTGATGTCAGCTGCATTGCAATGTGGCTGTACATCGTCACATCACACAGTATACAGCCACATCACACTGATACTTCTGTGATATTGCTTATTTATTTAGCCTTCAGATAATGCACAAAATCTCAATGACCAAAAATGGCTTTTGTGGTCCATTTATGTTTCAAAGACAAAACAAGTGATTGATATACACTGACATGATTGTAGGTTTTGGGGTTAGCTATCAATATCAGCAGTGATGCTATTTATTTTCTCAGTCTAATTGTTTTATCTGCTCATCATTGGCTACATCACTATTAATCAGTTTTTGTGTCTCGGAAAAAATGCCCCTGGGCTGCTGTAATGTTAGAAGCCTCTCTGACAATCAGCCCTCTGTAATGCTCTAATCACCGTGGCTCCAGGTTCTCCTGTCTGTTTGTGTCTGTGCAGATTTACAAAGAAAGAAGAGTGAAACAAAGCAGGAAAAACAAGAGTCGGTTGCTTTTTATTGCATTCATTTGTATTTAAGTCCTCCTGTGTTTGTGTGCACGGCTCTTGCGTATTCGAGAATGAATGCGAGTGTGTGCGTAACAGTCAGCGCTTGCGTGTGCTCAAACACTAGATGCAATGAAAGGATGTCCCTGATTATTTCGAGGGTTTAGCAGCTTGTTTAGTGCAACTGAGAAGTGGCAGATAGATAAAGAGACTGGAGCAAACACTGCCAGGACACTACAAAGGTTGCGCCTTTCAGAGAGCCACAAGCAAAGGACTCTGGGAAAACAAGCAGCACTGGATTCCGGTGCAAGGCATCTTAGAAAACCTTCTCCGGGTAGCACAATCGCATTGGCCCTTAAAACAAGGCTTAAGCCCAGTTCTTTCAAGCAGAGTTTGTTGCTCAAACATTCCAATCACCTCCACCTTGAAGTAGGTCATATCAAACACTGCTCGCTTGTCTCCATGTGGAAATAAAAGAAGCTTTTTAAAAAAGTCATTAAAAAGGATCAATCGCATAATATGCTGATCTGAGAAAAGGTTTAAGAACTAAATCCTAGAGTTGGAAAGCACAAAAAAACTATTATTTGTAAAAGTATTCAGGCACCTTTGGAGCATATTACATAATGTTTTAAAATGGGACCTTATGTTTTTGTAATGCATGAACTACATTACCTAACAATGAGTAATGTATTCATTACACTATTAATTGTGGTTATTAACAATTACAAAGTTATAATCATTTTTTGTTTTGTTTTGCTAAGCACACTACTGGTCAAAAGTTTGGGGTCAGTAGGATTTTTAAATGTTTTAAAATAAGCTTCTCCTGCTCACCAAGGCAGCATTTATTTAATCAAAAACACAGTAAAATTGGGAAATGTTATTGCACTGTAAAATAACTGTTCAAAAGTAGTTTATAATTTAATTTGATTTATTCCAGTGATTTTAAAGATACATTTTTAACTTCATTACTCCAGTCTTCAGAGTCACATGATCCTTCAGAAATCACTCTATTAAATATTATTCTTATTCTTAATGGTAACAGTAATAAAAGCAACAATTACTGGTGTAATCATTTCATTTGAAACTACATACAATAAGAAAGCAGTTATTTAAAATATTAATATATATATTTAACAATTTAACGTTTTTTCTTATAATAAATGCCACCTTGATGAACAGAATATTTTTCTTTAAAAAAACATGAAAAAAAACTGACCCCAAACTTTTGACAGCTAGTGCATGAACAAATCAAATAATCGAATAATATTAACATATACATTGATTGACATTAATAATGTAATATGTAAATGTTTCAAATAAATACAGTTAAAGTCAGTTACGACTAGAAATGAGTTATTAAAACTAATATGTTTAGAAATGTGTTGAAAGAATCTTCTCTCTGTTAAACAAAAATTGGGGAAAAAATAAACAGGGGGGCTAATAATTCAGGGGGGCTTTTAATTCTGACTTCAACTGTATGTAATATTAAGAGTAAAAAAGTTAGCATTTTACTGCATATCATACTGTCATACTGTGTGACATTTAAATAAAATAAAATTTGAATTTAAATTGAAGGGTAAGTATGTTTCACTGTTAGTTAATCGTAGATAATGTTATTAACTAATGGAACCCAAACTACTATGGAATAGAGTCAAATCTAATTTAATTTAAATTTAATCCCAAAACTAATACTGTTTCTAAACAGTGGTTGCGTCTTATTAAAAGTGTTTACAAGTAAACATTTAGAAAATTTATTGCAATTAAACTATTTTGAGTCTCTTTTTGATCATTAAGGTTGTATTTATTATAAAAGACAGTAATACTGTTTTAAATTGTGACAATATTTCCATCACCATTTAATTTAATAATTATATCTTTTTTGAACATATTTTACAAAATTATTTAAATCTTACGATTTGGCCTTTTATTGTCAACTTTTGATCAATTTAAAGATGTTAAAAGAGGTCTAAAATAAAAAAATTGTCTTCCACATCCAGTTGATGTTCACCATTGACCTTTATGCATTTCCAAATCAGTTCGAGTTTAAATTCAATTCAATTCATCTTTATATATAAAGCGCTTTTACAATGTAGAATGTGTCAAATCCACCTTTAATCTATATCCTTCTTTCTTTTGTTCGGACACCAACATTAAAAATAAACCTCATACAGAAACAATACAGATTTGCAACAATTAAAGGTTGAAAAAAATGGCAGAATTTCCATTCTGGATGTGAACTATTAATTTCTCAAACTTTTAATATACCAGGTTTGAGTTTGTATATGTGTCATCTTATTTAACCAGTCATCAGATTACCTGTGGAAGATAGGCTGCTCTCCTCTGACCGAAGGGAGGAGTTGTGTGTTTCTCCTAATGAAGGCTCTGAAACTGCCTCTCTGTGTGTCTCCACATGCTCCCCATTCACATGAATTTGCACCTGAAATCACCAATTACAGTTCATTAGTTCACCTAATCAACCATATGAATACTTTTTAAATATCCATTTCCATAATCTTTGCAATCCAATAAGAGAGAGAATTTTTAATGCCCTTTTTGGCTTTACAGTATCACTATGATGATACATGGTATCAGATATTGAAATTGAACATAAATTGGTCAGGTTATTCAAGCCATCTTTCCATTCATCTTAAGACATGTATTTACATAAATACTAACACTGCATTAATTATTTATATACATTCATTTGAAATATTCTACCAAAGAATAATAATAATACTGCTACTACCTTGGTACATTTTAATCTCATAATTGTACTCAAAAAAGAATTTTGCTAAAAAACAAAAACAAAAAAACAATAGATTAAATGAATGAATGAATGAATGAATAAATTAATAAATAAACAAATATAAATAATGTAATTTGCTTAATTAATAATAATAATAATAATAAAATATAGATTAAATGAATGAAAGAATTATTGAACAAATGAATAAATAAATATAAAAAATGATTTAGCTAAAAATTGAACAATAAAACAATCTAGATTACATGATTGAATGAATAAATAAGAATAAAAAGTAACTTGCTAAAATAATTAACAATAATAAAATTATAGATCAATTATAAATTATAGATCATAATTAAATAAATAATTAAATAAATAAATAAATGAATGAATGAATGAATGAATGAATGAATGAATGAATGAATAAATAAATAAATAAATAAATGAATAAATATGAAAAGGGTAATTTGCTAAAAATAACAATAATAAATAGATCTGGAATAAAATTAATGAATTAATGAATGAAAAAATAAATATGAAAAAAGTATTTAGCTAAAATAATTAACAATAACAAAAAGTATTCATCAAATGAATGAATGAAAAATTAAATGAATGAATTAATGAATAAATAAATAAATATGAAAAAAGTAATTTGCTAAAAAAAGAAAAATAAAAAATCTAGGTTAAATGAATGAATGAATAAATATATATATAAAGTAATTTGCTAAAATAATAAACAATATAAAAAATTTGATCAAATAAATGAATGAATAAATAAATAAATAAATAGACATATGAATGAATGAATAAATAAATAAACAAAAAGGTGATTTGCTACAAGTAACAATATTAAAAAGATCTGGATCAAAATAATGTATTAATAAATAAATATGAAAATCAGTAATTTGCTAAAATAATTAACAATAATAAAAAAGATCAAATTAATGTATGTAAAATAGTTCTGAAAAAGGTTTTTTTGCTAAAATATACTAACAATAATAAAAAATATTGATTAAATTAATGAATAAAAATAAAAAAATATGGTATTTTGCTAAAAAAAAATACAGTAATAAAAAATCTAAATGAATGAATGAATGAAATATGTAATTATGGTAATACCTCAAGATCTGATTTGGGATACAGGAAAAAGAAAGGCTTCAGCACTGGGGATCTATAAAGACAATTAGATGTTTTCAATTATTTATATGCAACATTTGCTGGTTCCTTTTTAAACAGTTTTTTTTTCTTTAAAGAATTACTAAGTTCCACACACATTCTTGGTCGCCCTCCTACAATTGCTGTGAGTCCTGGAGCTGTAGAGGGACAAAAAGAAATCAGTTGTTTTTAATGTTCTTTGGGTTTTAATGAACTGTGATCTGAGAATGGGATAAGACTTTGCTAGGGTATTTACTGACCCATGCCAGTTCCCGCTGGTGCGACCTCTCTGGAGAAAAACTCCAGTGCTTTCTTCTGCTTGTGATGGACGGCCATCCAAACCACGGCCTCACGAACTCCCTGCATAATCAAAAGCAGACTTCACAAACTGTAGGTTATTTGTTCTAACTGTAAATGAAGAGAAAACAGAAACAGCCAACCTACTGTATTGACTGCATGGGGTCCATATGTGTCCTCAGCACCCAGAACTTGAATATTGACTTCAGTATAATCCTCCAAACCCAGCTGTTTGAAAATTCGCTGGGTCCTACAGATGAGGATTCATGATGAAATGTTACTATAGCACTACTAACAACTTCAAATCTCATTATGCCTTAAAATGTGTTCATATTTGATCGATATGCAATCCCATAAGAATAAGCCCTCAACCTTTTGATTATGCTCTCCGCTGTTCTTCTAGCTTTCTCCACCGCTCTCGGGCCACCAACAGGACAAACTGCTGTCGCCCTGAACCCATCCATATATGTGGCGCAAACCTTGAGAAGACAAAATACAAACCATAACCAATCTTATTTGCATTAAGAATACTCACTAATTATTAAGAAAACTCACTAATTATTCTCACTCCAATTCCAAATAATTCCAAACCTTGATGAGTTTCCTCTGTTGAACACTAAAGAAGAAATTTTGAAGAAAGTTAAAAACCTGTAGCTATTGACTTTCAATAAAAGAAAAACAAACATTATGGAAGTCGATGGTTACAGGTTTTCAGCTTTCTTCCAAATATCTTCTTTTTGTTCAACAGAAGAAAGAAACTTAAGTTTGGAAGTGAAGGGTGAGCAAATAACAACAGACAAATAACAAAAAAACAAATAAAACAACAACAAAAAAACTTTTTTTGGTGTTTTTGGTGAACTATCCCTTTTAATTTGACTAATACCAAATCGGATTTTACAACTGACTAACCTTGTAGTCGCCTGATGGAGGCGATCCCTTGGCACCACCGACTTTCACGGCTCCGCCATCCACATCTAAACATCACAGGCAAAAAAAAAAACTGACAGTAAAATGGTAGCAGTAATAAAATAAATATTATAGTACTATAAGTGATCTATATAGTGCTCAGCATTATTGAGTACACCCCTTACAGGTCTCTCTTTTAAATTAATATTTTCAATAAGTTGCTTTACAATAACACATTGGTGCAGATACATCATATTAGTCAGAACCAAAGCCAAAACTAGAAAAAATCAGTACACCCAAATTAATGTTGGGGGTAAATATTAAAAAAATATTTAATAAAGAGAAAAAAATATCAAGAGAAACATAAACATTTTGTAGTTTATCACTTTTTAAAAAATAATTATTGTAGTTTTTTTGCTTGCAATAAACAATTTGAAATTATATTACTTTCCAATTTGAAAGATATTTTATATTTCTTTTCTTAAGCATATTAGTTGACCAAACTTTTATTTTATTTGATATAACTGTTCAATAACATAGTTTTGTTTAAAAGGTACCAAAAAAGATCTGCCATATTTACTTAGAAATTGATAAAAATATTCATTTTATAAAGGGGGTGTACTTATATACAGTACTGTATATATACATTAGTGCTGAGCTGTTATCGGCGTTAACATGCTGCGTTAACACGAGACTTATAAAAAATACCGCCGTTGATCTATTCTCAAAGTTGAGTTGGGAGCTGGATCTATTCTACGCAAACAATGATGACTTTCACCTTGATATTTTAGCGCGGATGTATACCTGACCAGTGAGCCGTCTGACAAAAAAGTGCCCTTCTGAATCAAATCAGCAGGATGCCTGAATTTAACTGCAGTTCGGCAGTTTCACTTTAACTATTTCAATTACGCCTTTGTGACAAACTGGGGTATTAGATGCAAATAAGGAGTAAGGACTGGTGAGAGTGTTGTGGAATTTAATAACGCACGCCAAATGAAAAGAAAAAAAAGGTACACATTTCGCAATGTGTGTGTGTTTGTGTGACGGTGTTTACTGATATCTGTGTTTACTTCAATAATGCCACTAATATATTCACACTCCATTGCATTTCTGTTCAGTTCAGTTATGACAGAAATAAACAGTTAGTAAACACAAGTACATCTTATTGAACATAATTTATTTTCATCACTAATTATCATAGAACAGTTGCTCAAGCAGTTTGTGATGCATTTTGGAAACAGGAGATGAGCCCCTGGTCTAATGCGCCACCTGGCTTGAGAAACCCGTTCTCAAAGACTTATTTTTTGGGTAGCACACATATTCTGGATGCCTTTGGCAGAG